AATACGTTTGAAAGAAACACCACGACTAGGAAATAGAAACAAAACTTTTCACAAGTGATGTATGAGTCAAAGCAGTTGCAAGGTAAACAATGATAAGGATACCAATAAACTAATATGAAAAGCATGAAGTTGCAACTTATGTCAACAATAACAAAAACATGCGGACAAACAAAGCAGCAACACGAGAAGTGGCAACAACAATAAAGCAGCGCACAGACTAAATAAAAGCGGTAATAAAGGAAGTGAAGTAAATAAAAACAAAAACAAAAAATAGTCACACATAAATATAAAAAACATATATACATATACAGATATAAAAATTTTTGTACGCGGTGCCTTATAAAGTACATGCATCACTTTGTTGCACAAACAGAATGAAAATTAAGGACGAGTCAAAAAAGCACACATGCACACATACGACAAAAATAGGAATGCAACAACAAGTCAGCGTTGGCGTAACCACGCAGCATGCAAACAATTGTTGTACAACAACAAACAACAAGACACATACTATCTGCAGGCACTGATACGATTTGAGTAACCACGTTTTATCACGTAACCCATTTGTCTTATCCATTTTGCTGCTTACTTACAACTACTTTATGCTGTTGCAACACAAAAACAAAAAACAACAAGCAAGAAGAAACAAGAACTTAAAGGCAGCAACAACAACTTACAAACAAGCTGCAATAGGAAAAAAGTAGTACTTTAAAGTAATGCAGCAACAGCGACGCAGCAACGACGCGATCTCTAAGTGATGCCGCATGTTAGTGGCAAGTGTAGTTTTTGCCAGGCTTTATACCGTTAGAAGGCATACACGCCTTTGCTGCGCGACTCTGTACACTCGTAACTGTCTGCAGAGCCATCAATCGGCGGAATTAAAGTTGCATTGCGGATGTGGCAAATGTAAGCGCACGCCTACAAAATGCAGCTTAGCTCAAGCCACCAAACAAATCCCTTGCAAGCGCCTGCGAATGCATGTATGTGTGATGCGTGGGTCTGCGGATTCACCGATTTTCTTTTTACCACATCAAAAAAAGTGTAAAAAAAATGTTCAACTCACGAATCCCGCCACTTTAGTCATCCGGCGCTCTGCGCTGTCACGTCGCGTCGTCGTCATGCGCTTAATTAGAGCTTTTGCGCCACACCCGTGCGCTCTCTCTAATCCTGCGTGGTGTCTGTAAGATGCTTAATATTTGCTTAGTTTTTTGGGTATGCTGTTTGTCTATTATATGTGTTTTCTGGTTAAGCCGCAACACGCCTCAAAGTGCAGACTCTTAATCTGTCAGGAAGCGTACGTAAATACACCGCAAGCGCGGACAACTTTTGTGGCAGCTGTGCGTTTGTGTGGCACGGTGTTCGTCGCGCTTTAAAATCATTAACATTCAAAGTAAATGAAACTAGTGTAAATTTCAAGGTCTCGAATTCAATTCTCGGTAGTATTAATCTACGAGAAAGGAGGAGTTAACATGTCTCTACATATCTAGTTTAAAAGCCGAGGTTTGCACAACAATTTATTGGAAGGAAATAACTCCAAATAATCCAATTTGGAAATCACAAATATTCAGCAATTTAGCACAATGTCTTCAGGGCGTTCGGACCTCAGAGGGGTAAGCCTAACATATAATATTATACCGGAAAGCCTTCAAGAACCATTAAATCTGCAACGTCGTTTAAAAACGTGATTGATTCTTCAATGTATTCTAAGTATTTGTCATTTCCATTTGAGGACTACATTCTCGTCATACTCTCACATTTTATCTGCGAGAGAAAGTTTCAAGTCACACTAAAAGAAGATGGATGGTCTACACGACAAATCAAAAATTACCAATGTAGTGGGAATAGCGCGGAACTAGATCTCAGGCCAACGTTCAAGTTGCCGGAATGCTACAGTATCTTCCAGACGGAAATCTTTGAAATCAGGATAGCTGCTGAGATAGCCAACAACGCAGGAAATTCCATAAGGAAAATCGTTGTAACGGGCCTTTCAATAGGAACGCAAAAAATGTAGACCGATAGGGATAGCAAACGACGTCTCGCTCTTTTGAAATTTCTTTTCAATAAAATGGAGTCGAAATTAGTGAAATTTACTACCGAAATTCAGAATCAGTGGCTTCAACTTTAAGAGCGCTATGTCCATTTTATGGTCGTCATAATCGTTCTGTCAGATCAACAATTTAGCGTCTAGTGGAACAATTTGAATCCACAGGCACAGTACAAAATGTTTCCGTGCCAGTGAAATAAAGAAGTGTCCTTAGTGTCGAGAATATTGCAATCTCTCACACGTCATTCTCAAGCGTTGAGGATTTTTGTGACGTCGTTGTGGCGAATTTCGCGAAAGATCTTGACTAAAGCCGCTTGACCACCAGAGTCGTCGTATGTTCGTGAATTGGGCTGAGCAACAACTTGAAATTCTTCCGCATTTTCATCGATCAATCATCTTCAGCGATGAGGCTCATATCTATCTAAATGGCTTCGTCAATAGGCAAAATAGGTCAGGCAGCAATCCACACATCCATGAGTTACCATTGCATCCCGAAAAAATTACGATTTAGTGCGGTTTATGGGCCGGCGACGTCGTTAGTTCTAAAAGGACGGCGCTGCAAATCGCAGAGAATGTCACAATCGATTTATTGAAAACCAAGTTTGGTGACCGTGTAATCTCACGAAATGACGTAGTCAATTGGCCGCCTCGGTTGTGAACTTCATACGTGGCCGTGGGGGGTTATGCAAAAGAAATCGAGTTCCATACATAATGGCATCAAATGGAATAAAAAAAATTCATTGATATCCCAAACCCAATTTTTTTTTTTTTTTTTTTTGTTTTGTAGCCCTCTTATTGAAATCCCCTTTACATCAAGAGACCAACAGCAAGTACTCAAAAATCTCAGATTGCAGTGCATCAGAGAATCTTCTTGGAATCAAAGAGACAGAAAATATGGTGGCTGCAGGAAAGCGGCTGCATATCTATATGGCGTAGCAGGTCACAAGGACATTTCGGGACATGAAATAGCCGATGAGATTGCCAAACGTGTCACCCGCTTGGCTACCGAGCCCGTACATGATATCGGCACGTCGCTAAACTGATATTACAATGAAAATACCGAAAGTACTGGCAGACGGAATGGAATATATAAAGGATTTACAGGATTGCCAAAGACTTGTGCAAGGGAAGGAAAACAAGATAGCTTTTTACGTATACAGTCTCAAAAAGACAGCAGGAGGGTTTTATGCCTAGTCAGCTCATATCTTACTGGCATCAACTGCGATCTTATGGGAAATATTCGCGATGGTACATATAGGAAGTGCAAGAAAGTTGGCATGAGAACACCTTTTTTGCAGCGGCCGACCTTATCTAGAAATCGGCTTAGATATCTAGAAGCATCGAAGTTCGAGGGAGCGACTGATATATCAGAATTAGATATTAAGTCACTCGTAAAGCTCGGGCCTACGTCCTGTACGACGTAAACTTCAACTCATATTAAACTTAACGTCGACTGGCACTATCAAGGATATGTAGGTCTATGTATGGCGTGGTAGTCAGCCAGTATAACATAAAGCTAGCCTTGGAGATTATAAAATCAAAACTCGTTTTCGAATCTACTCGGCCAAGGTAATAGTAATCATTTGCAGGATTCTTAATATTATTAAGACTTTGTGAATCTTTACCACTTTATTTACCCTTTTGAACTTTGAGCTTTCCGCGCTTCAAACTGCCGCGATAAGTTAAATGATAATTTTTCATCACACTGTTTCATTGCTCACTGCAAATGGTATGGTTTTGAGATTCTGAGTGCCTCAGTTTAAAAATTCAAGAAGTTAGTAAAAATTATCATTTCGAAAGAGCTGCAAAGTTTTATAAAGAGTCAGTGTAGGTTCTGTGATAAGCCCACCCAAACTAAATCCAAAATCCAAGTTACAAATATACTTGTGGAAATATATTTACGCTATTGGCTTCAATCTAAGTCTACTCAGAATGATTCGTTGAAAAATAAACGCATTCTATTCCGACATACAGACGTTCTTTTGGATTTGTGGCGTTTCATAGAGATCAAAGACGTGAGCTCAAGTTACGAAAGCTATACAATAGTTCTTCCAATCAAAAATGTGTACTAGTTGACTAACAAGGCATTCCTAGTGAGAGATATTGTGAGACGATGGTAGATGAGATCCAATGGCTGGAATCAAACAAATATCTTTTTTTTACCAGAATTTATGCCTTTCGTCCATTTAGTTCAATCCTCTGCCTTCATTCCCGTAGTTTGACATGTTACAAACTATTTTGGTTATAATTATCGGTCAAGCCTGCCTTAATCTTGAGGAAGTTTAACTTTGGATTGCTTTTTTTACATTGCCGGTCCCAACCAACCCCTGAGAGAGATGACAACAAAAGCAACCACAACAGAGATGATTCGACTTCAAATGGATGATCTTTGGCTACCCAGAGGATACTTGGTCTGAGATCAGAAGTCGTGAGCTGCTTGGACCATATATAAAAGAATCTTTCCTGACCATTTCCGAGAGAATGGCGCTCAGAGAACTTTCCTCACTTCCTCGACCTTCTACACATGGCTACATCCTCGGCTATAACCGTGTAAGAATAACGGTAAACAACGAGCAAGTACATATCGCACGTAAAACTCTTCGTTTCATTACTAAGCGGAGAAAAATTAAGAAGCAGCTCGCAACGAATGAAAGCAAATAGACACAAAAGCTGAATTTTAACAGAAAAATAAACAAACATTTTCAACACAAAGCTTCAACGCCAACAACAACAATAATGCATGCGCTGCAAACGCAAAATGCAAATGGCAAAAATAAACAAGCAAACACAAAAAAACGAAAAAAAAATAGAAAATGGAAAATTCTGCACTACTACAACAACAATTTCGACTATGCCATTTCGACTTACGCCCGCAGCATCATTACTTTTGGCTGCGCCACGGAGAGAGAAAAATCGCAATCGCAATCGCAATCACAACAACAGAAAAATAGCTCACCTGCATTCGAAATCAAATTGTTGAAGAACGAGCCAATTGTGTCACCGCTGCTGCTCAATTTGTTGCCGGCAGCGTTGTCGCCGGCTGCAGCCGCACCAGCAGGCGCCGTATCACCGCTTATACCGCTTATTGTTGTTGCAGTTGTTAGCTCCGCATTGCTTTTTGTGGGCGATCCAAACGCACCGGTGCCCGCCGCGCCCATGCCGCCCGTCGTCATGCCTGCTATGGTGATTTCCGCCTCAAAATCAATGCTATTGAAGGATTCATTGTCGATGTCACTCAAATGTTGTGATTTGTCATCACCGCTGCCGCTGCCGCTGCCACCCGCATCAACGCCGCCAACACCAGCAACGCCAGCACCTCCGAAGCCGACAGCACCAATTTGCGAGGGAGCAGTAAGCAAATTTTGCGGCTCTACCTGTCTTTCGAGAGATTGCAGCTCGTTGTGCCCTTGTTGTTGTTGTTGTTGCTGTTGCTGCTGTTGATGTTCGTTTTGCGGTTGCATGCCTTGAATTTTTGTTTGCACAGCGCCAATATTAGTGCGATTGCGATTGCCAGTGCCGCAGCTGGTGCCGGTGCTGCTGCTTGTGGCGGCCTCCGTCGTCCTCGCCGTTGCCGTTGCCGTTGTTGTTGTCGCGTCAATTGCATCAATCAGATTATCAACGTCAATTGTCGTTGTGAGTGCATAGGATGGCGGCACCATCGCAACTGCTGTCGACGCCCTAAGCTGTTGTGGTTCATTTATTTCCGAAAGTGTTGTAAAGTCATCGTCATCCACATCGACAAGCACACCAACAACGCCATCGGCATAGATAGCTCTTCCAACGGCATCGGCATCGACATCAGTATGCGCAACGGCAACTAAATCTGTTGACAATGCGGTTCTATGCGTCTCATCATCATCTTCGTCAATAACACATTCACTGACGCTGCGCCCGGTAAAGCGCATATTCGGTGCTCGACGCAATACAACTGAAAGGATGAAAAGAACAGACACACGCATATGAGAGAATATGTACATAAATATACAAGTTGAGTTGGAAAAAAAACTTGCTAGCTAAATCAAGCTCCGATTAGTGGTCAGGGGGGTACTGTAAATTTTTTAATGGCACTGGCAATTTGGAACCAAGATCTGTGTCTTTATTTCAGTACGGAGATTCCATAAACAGCGGATTAAGGAAAGTAGCATCAAAAAGACAGACAATGGTATATAACTTCGTCAACCGGGATTGAAAAGGACTGTCTTAAGAACAATACATAAGTTCTAGTACAAAGTAGTCCATTGTTTCTGCATTAATAGTTACAGTGGTTTACGGTAATAAATCAATTTATTGTCTTATTAAATTCTAAAACACCTCTAGAATACTGTCCTAAATTTTGAAGTTGATCCGAGTAATAGCTTCGGAGATACAGCGTGTTTTAAACATGTTTTCCTCGAAACTGTGTGTTTTGAAGCCGGTTGGCAAGATTTCTCGAGAACTACTCAACCGATCGTCATGAAATTTTACACGGATCTTTAATATACAATTCTTAAACACTTGGATGAAGTATTTTTTTCGATAAAACCTATTTGGAAAAAAAAATTTCGCGAAATTTTCATTTGCTTGTAAAAATGTCTGCCAAGAATCCAGTGCTCAGTTTTTTTCTTTCGTCCAAGTTCTAAGTCCAGGTTTTAACTAAAACACGTAATTATTTTCACTTGAAATTATCTTGTTAGGAGTTAATCTGCCAAAGCGGGCTCATCTTTTTTCCGAGGATGCTCTGTGGCGCCCATAAATCGAGCTAATTTTTGTATCTAAAGATTTTTTATGCAATGTTTAGCACCTGAGCAATCGGAATAGTGCTTACATAACGTTCGGACTCGACGATTTTCATTATTTGTGGATATTTTTTTTTTTTATTTAAATTCGTTCATGAACACGCTCGACATAACCTGGTATGGTTACTAAGAAAAGAAATCCAGAGATAAAAATCCCTTTTCAGAATGGCGATGTTGTTTGTCGGTTGTGTTCTTAAACCGTTTGAGTTAGTTCCTATTATTTTGGATTACTTTTAAAATTCTCCTCCATTATCTCGGTTTTAACTTTTTTGATATTTAATATTCTCTATAAATCTCCCGTTAAGCAATATATTCTTTCATTTCATCAACAAGTTTGCTAGAAGGTTGTGTTCAGGAAACTAGTAAGACTTTATTCATATTTTTAAATTTCTTAATTTATTCTTCAAAATCTATGTCGTCCTCCTCAAAGTAATCACACTTGTGGCAACTTTTTTTTTCTGTCAAATCTCGAAACAGTTGTTAAAGTCAATTTCCGGAATAGCCTTCCATGCGTGTAGCGATGGCTTCATTTGCTCAAATGGAAACGAAATAGCCAGAAGTCACACTGAGCTAAATAAGGCGAATACGGTGGTTGCGGCACGATATTGGTCGAAAATTAGACGAAAAACTTACTTAGGATCAATCCAGTATGCGACGGTGCACGGCGTGGTTCAAAAACTAAGAGTTGACTGTCCATAATTCCGGCCTCTTTTTACAAATAGCATCGCCCAAACCACCGACTGATAGTTTGTTTCCAGGTAGCATAGATCCAAGACTCATCGTCAGCAACAATTCGTTCTACAAGGTGCTCTCCAAAGTAAACAGGACTTAAAAAAAAAAAACAAGAACACATTGTTTTTTGGCAAAATCAATTTATTTTGTTCAAAATGGTCTACTTCTGCTTCAATACAGCTTTTTTGTACGGTCTAAAAGCATGTCGAACGAGTGTTTTAGCTCGTGGTTTTGTATGGGCGCCAGTGTTACGGTGCAATCCCTTTGAATGGCCTCTACGTCTGCCTAACGCTTTCCATATCAGATGAATACATTAACCACTCCAATAGTTAAAATGTGATTTTTGGTCAATTAATCGGTCACAAGCGTCGATCGATGAGACGGCGATTATCGTGCAACAAATGCCAACTTTCATCTCAGCGTGCACACACCTTTCGTAAGCCCAAAGCTCCAATTCTTTTAATTTATTGCCGTGAGAAAATTAATTCGACTTTGCGACATAAGAAAACCTAAAGTTGGTATGATTTATTATGGAACCTGACTTCAAAAATAATTATATTTAGTAACCGACAATAACTGTAGTTCACCGTAATTTCAGACTGGAGCAGCAGGATGCCTTTCCCAGCTATTCCTTATATGGAAAATACTTGTTCGAATCTTTTTATTTTATAGCATTACTTCTATAACGAAGTTGACTCGACGTAGCGGTGGCTCTTCTTTTTCTTTCAATTTATCACCGTCATTAGTTATTAGTTCATTAATTACTGGTCGAAGTAATAATTTATTAGATTTATTATATGGAAAAGTATTTTTTTTTTTTTTCGAAATAGATGACCATTCTAACGGTGCCGGTATGTAGCTGACATGGCTCGGTACGACTCGACTTCGGTTAATTTTGCACACGTTCATCTCGATCTTCTCAAGTCCTTTGTAGCTTGTGTTTGAGGAACCGGTTATTTTCCAATCTTTTTGAAAGGATTCTTCATTGTTTGTTTCTTGAAAAATTCGGGATTACTGACTTGTTCGCAAAGCAAGAATGCTCTCCACCGCAGTTCTTCACTGCAAAAACTCTTATAGGGCACTTGATAGCTACTTACTTTGCTCGTACTTTTGATTTTTTTTTTTTTTTTTTTTTTGTTTTGTTCGACCCGAATATATATGTCACGTGTCCTATGCACGGTTGCATTTCAGTGTCACGTTACTCGTAATTTCATTAATAGCAAGTAAATGATAAACAAACAACGAAAAATAGGCAAAAAATAAACAACAACAAAAAAAGAAGAGAAAGATTTTCCACAAAATAAATACGAGAAACGCTTGAAAACGCATGAAAATTACAGTTAACAATAGCAACACACATCGAAAGCATGAAGCATGAACCAAGCCACTCGTCCTTGGCAAACGAGCGCACACAAACAAGCAAGCGATGATTGTGAAGTGTATGATTGAAGCGAAGAGGTAAATAAGTCGAATTAAAGTACAGTAGATTTGCCGTTATTTGCATTATTAGTAGCAGTAGCAGCACCGGCACCAGCGAGTCAACATCATCAAATCAACAGCGGCGACTCGACGGCACAAATGCATTGCGGTGCAAGGCTATCAAGCCAACAACAGCAATGCTATTTGCGAGAACGTGTCACCAGCGACGCCGCTGCCAGAGGCCAAGAGAAGTAATTGTTGCTGCTGATCAACTGGCGCGCGGCAGCAACAATTGCATGTGATTGCTTTTTTATGCGTTTTTGCCGTTATTATTATGGCTGCGCTCAATTGTATATTTGCGATATTTTGCATTCCTAATTTAAATGCTGCATGTGACAAGCCACCAACAACACCCAACACCAATATTATCCAGCACCAATACATCAACCACACTCACCAACCCAGCCAACCACCCACCCACCAATCAAAGCAGAGCAAAGCAAATGCATCATCATCATCATCATCACTTCACTTGACTTGACTTACCTTCACCTTCGCTGTCATCAACGTCTTTTCCAGTCAATTCATGGAAATCGTCTGCAACGCCACGCCGCTGCTGCTGCCACGCAGGTGTCGGCACCACCATCGTTGCTGCGGCAGCCGCCTCGTAATTTCTCAATTGGAATATTTGATTCTTTAATGATTTCCTTCGCCGCAGATACTCGGCATGTTGCAATTGTTGATTACACAATGCTGCTTGCAAACATTTTAAAATATCATTGTTGTTGCCATTGTCGTTACCTTGGTGGCTATTGTTGTTGCCAGCAGCAGCAGCAGCAGCATCGAGTGCCTGCAGCACTGCATTGATGACCTCAAGTGCGGCATTTATGATGGAATGCTGAGAAGCACTGCTGATGTTCAACAAATGCAAACAATAATCGAAAATTTCAATAATTTGCCTGCACTCAGTGTTGATTGGCTTTGCAGTTGTTGTTGTCATTGTTGTAGTGGCTTGTGTTGTGTGCGCACCGCCTGCTCCGGCGCCTGTCTTCGTCGTCGTCGTCGTCGTCGTCGTCATCGTCGGTGTCGGTCGTGTGTTGTGTGCCTTGCCTTTATTGACTCCGGCGTGTGCTGCTTGTGTGCTGTGGCCATCATCGCAATCGTCCAAACAATCAGTGCTGAATCCATGTATGATTAATGGCAGCAGCAAGCGCAGGAAGCCGAGCACACCGACCACGTTGTGTTGTTGCTGGTCGACAAGTAGAAATTCTGTTGAAGAAGAGCAAAGTGGAAACGAGTTGGAAATTAAGATATTTTCATGTGCAAATATTTATCATTTAAGGTTAAAAATTGCCATGAAGAATGCTTGAAATCGTACAGGAGGTTTATGTGCGAGTGGCACATATGAGGAGTAAATGAAAATGATTTTATTAACAAAATTCAGGAAAAAACGTTAACTTAGTTAACAGAAGGGTATAAAAAGGCGTTAAATTGGATTTTGATCGGTTAGTTTGTATGACAGCTATATGATATAGTGCTCCAATCTGAATAATATATTCGGAGAATGTAGCGTTGCCTTGGACAATAATCTATGCTAAATTTCATGAAAATATCTCGTCTAATAAAAAAGCTTTCTATACAAAGACTTGATTTGGATCGATCAATTTGTATGGTAGATATATAATGTAGTGTTCCGATCTGAAATTTGAAATTATTCAGAAATTGTAGCGCTGTCTTTTAAAATAATATATGCCAAATTTCATGAAGATATCTCGTCAAGTAAAATAGTTTTATATACAAAAACTTCATTTTTATCAATCAGTTTGTATGACAGCTATATGCTATAATGCTCCGATATCGGTGATACATACAAATGATAAGCTTCCTGGAGCGAAAATAACTTGTGCAAAATTTCAGATCGATATGTCAAGAACTAACGGACATAGCATATAAAAACTTTGTTGGGTCTGCGACATTTCCTTTGAGTCTTGCAAACTTATTGGCAAACTTAATAGGATAGAATAATTAGGGCTCGATTCAATTATAACAACATCAAAGAATAATGTATTTAGAAACAACCATTAACACTTTTAATCAATATCTTACCGTGAGTAGAGTCAAAGTACTACGACAACGTAGAATCTCCCCACCTTATGACAAGCCATTCTGGATTTTGTAACCGGAAGCTATAACGGTATTATTATCTAGATTAAAATGCTATGGGTCAGCTATAAATCACACCACAAATGCCTTGCAAATCCCTTAAAACTCTTGATTAGAACTTTATTGTAGTTCTGGATATTGTAGTAGTTTTAACCCTTTCTTAAAGCGACTCAATTAAGATTGATCAAAACTATCCAACAATCAACTAAAATGTGAAGCTTAGTCAACACACAATATTTATTATTTCAAAACCGACAAAGCCTCCTGAACTTAAAATGCCAAAGAGTTAATGGCGCGTCACAAAAATCTTATTGAAGTAAGACAGAGCTTTGATAGCCTTAAATCCAACAAACGAAAAATTAATCATGGTCGAAATACCTCGACCTTTTGTAGTTTAAAAACCAAAACTTTTCACTCCCTTAGATCAAGCTTATGTATGTCAATTTGTTCCGTTTACATAGTCTCGTCAGAAACGAAAGCTTGTCAGATTCCAGGCGACCTTACGAACTCGGCAGCAATACATTCGATTACTTTGGGTTTTCTTTACACTTACTGTATATCTCAATATGGGAGAGTTATGGATTCAATATAAGTTTACAGTTAAAACCCAATAATAATAATACTCATGAGAGCTCCAAGAACATCATTCAGAGAGATAAACTATGTAGGTTACTCTTGTATTCTCTATTAAGATCTATAGATTCTTCCATACGTTTGGTCCAATTCTCAAGGCAATGTAATTAATTGATCCAACTCTGGAGGTTGGTTTTCCTTATTCCTTGAAAGACAACTGGCAAACAAATGGTTATGAACAGCTCAGAATTTACAGTTGCGTTGCGTATCGGTGCGACATATTCAGTTCCGAAAAAATAGGCAACCATTTGCTCGGAAGTGCTTCATAGTTGAACAATTTATGTTAGATGCGGCTTATCTTGAAACACCCATACAGTCGACTGCTGTTTACTTTCAGGCTGGTTCGTAAAAATCCATGATTCATCGTCTGTCAGGTTAACACAGACATTTCCCTCGAACGAGCCTTTTCTGAGCATTCAAATTATGTAGGATCGCACGTAAAAAGAATTCTACAATCAAATGTTAATGCAATATTGAATGTGTGCTAGTGCCTAATCCCAAGGCCTATGATTGTCTCAATCACACAATAGGTCACAAGAGGATCTTACAATACCAGTTTGCGTTCACATCAATACTTTCCGGAACAAGATCTAATTTTGGACGACCTTCGCTAAAATGGATTGATTTATGACCTCGATTAGATTCACCATACCATCCATAAACACTGGTCCTTGATGAAGCTCGGTGAAGTGTTACTGCGTTAGTCAACGTTCAAAAGTTTTAAAAAAAATAATGGCGCGAAAATGTTCCTGATTTAATTCCATTTTTTAGCCAAGATGAATATTTTAACTAACTGTAAACTATACAATTACGCTCGTATATCAAACGTTCAGAGTATGTATAACATACAAAATGGCAAAGAATTGCTTTAAAGCATTACTTTTTAATTCTGTCTCGAAGCAAAGGCGCAGAAACATATTTCGTAATTTTAAAAATACCTCCACGATTGGTTCAATTTCAATCAAGTTTTCAAACGAACATCTATAGTCACTTTTTTTTTTTTTTTAAATCCGTTGTGGTTGAAGAGTTGAACCTCTCATACGACTAAACATTTCCGTGAAGAACCAGATATCACTTTAATTAGTAAGCAAATCTAGACTATAGCCCCTAATAGGAATTACAATAAGAAGGTTTAAAAACTGCTGAGTTCCTGCAGATTCTGTGCATATAAATTCATAAAATTAGAACCCACAAACCGAATGAGTATCACAACATCTTATCTATAAGTAATATATCGAACTTTGAGACCATGCCTAGAAAAAGTAAAACCATTAAAGCAAACGATTTGTTGGGGAACACAATCTTAAAAATATTTTAATTAGCCACTTAAACTCTAACTATCAGGTGAGGTATATATTGACGGCCCCGTGACGCAGGACCTGGGTTCGATCTTTGTTCAGAACAATATTAAAAATATCAGTAGTTTCACGTTTTGGGCTGGTCGATTAGCCAACGAGATCGTTTGATATCACACTGTTAGACTGTTTCCTGTGGAAATGAGTAAAAATTTAAGTCAACATCACGCGTGTCCTTCGACAGTTACCAGTCGAAATGCTTGAACGAGTCACTGAAAATCGGACTCAAGGGATGGATTTTCTGAGAAGTAACCGCGGCCACTATTTAAAAGAGACAATCTTCAAAAAATAAATGCCAACGAATGTTCTTTCGAATGACAATAAACATTCTACATTAAATTTGAAGTTGCTGTGTTTTTTTCTTAAACAAAAAAGTAGGGAATTTCGAATTTTTTGGAAAAAAGGAAAGTTTTTTCAAATATTTACAGATTTATCCCATCATTCTTATGATATACATATACTATATACATATGTATGTATGATGCTATGATACGAACTCGTATGTATGCTTTTCTGACTGTCTTTAGTTCTCTCGTGTACATATTTACAAATAAACTAATTTTAGAAAGCGAGCTGATGACTTTCAAACTTTCCTTTTATTTGGATAGAAAATCTGTTGCAATGCCGAGACTCTGCCATTGTTGCCATGTCAAGCTTTGATTCTGCAACGCTGCATGTCAACGCTCGAGTTGTTGTTTCTGTCATTTGCCTCGCAGAGTTGACTCTCGCTTACAAGGCCCTCTACAACTTACAGTGCTGGGAATATTTGGGTATTTTATGCAAGCGAGCAAAAATATGTATTTCATATTTGAAGCTTTGACAGCAACAAAAGCAAACAAGCAACTATATAGCATCTCATAGACAAGATGGCAAAGTGGTGAAAGTGAGACACGAAGGATGAGTATTTATGTGCATAAGTGAGAGTAAGGCTTGCAAAGAAAGTTCATGCTTTTTCAGTGCTTGTTTTTGTTGTAAGCGGAAAATGTTTGCAACAAATTGCCGCCAATTAAATTTATCTTGTTGAGAAAAGTTTTAATGTAATATTTATACGCAGCATGTGAGCTAGCTGCGGGTGAGGCAGTGCAGCCGAGCACAGTGTAGATACCCGATGAGGGTGCTGTAGAGAGTGTTGAACGATGTTGAAAGACTGGCTGTGAAGGCCTTCGAGTGCCAAGGCGATGGTATTACTCTTCTCCTTTGTATCAGTAACAAACGAACGCACGGAACTTAGAGGGTAGCGGGTTTGGCGACTCATATTCTCTTCTTAGGAAACTCTCCTTGAAATTTCCACTGAGTACGAGTTTACATTGACACTGTCTTTGCATAGAACGCCTCGCCATATGAGTGCAAGTATGTATATAAATAGATGTAGGAAATGTAAATCGGTACGCATGTAACTTCATTACTCAATTAGTTCCCCTTTTACAGTTGCTTTTGTTGCTAGAGAGTGTGGTTGTGGCTGAGTTCACAAGCAACAATAAAATGCGGTATCTGCTTAAAGTCAGTGTTGGCTTTATAAAAAGGTCAATTGAAGCTCAGCAAAATTATCGAGGGAAAGGAGAGGCATTCTCAGACAGTGTGAGTTTGGTGCGAATTTTAAAGTAAAATACTGCTGGCACGATAATTTTGGCTATACAATTACGCTATGAAGTCTTTGATATCTCCTCCTTCAAGACGAAAAAAAAAACACAAAATTTATAAGAATTTCGATAACCACCAATAAAGCGAATATACTTTTAGTGATTTGAAATTAGTTAAAAGTTCGAAGAGACGATATCCGGCGAAGGTCATGAAGTCAGGGATAGCTTACCTCATGCGAGTCGTCTATTGACAATAGAAAAATATAAAATAAACAGTGCTTAAAAATCACCGTGCTGGGCGCAGAGAATCTCAACACATTTTAGTTAATGTTTTAGGTATGGAGTTTGTAAATTCTAGACCAAACCACCTGAGTCTTTTTTAATAATAACGTCGAAGAGAGGTCACAAAAGCGATGACTGACAACATAGCTGAGATTCCTTTATTATTCAAAAACATAGTTACTAGTGACATGTTGTAAGTTTATGAATATGACGTCGAAACTATCCGATAATCTAGCGAACGGCGTTTCAAAAATGA